GCATTAGAGCTAATAAACTCATCAAAATTTCAGAATATAAGATTAATACACAAACACCAGTTATATTTTTTTTGTTTTGAGATGGAGTTTTGCTCGTTGCCCAGGCTGGAGTGCAATGGCGTGATCTCTGCTCACTGCAACCTCTGCCTCCCGGGTTCGAGCAATTCTCTTGCCTCAGTCTCTTGAGTAGTAGCTGGGATTACAGGCACCCATCACCATGCTGGGCTAATTTTGTATTTTTAGTAGAGACGGGGTTTCACCATGGTCAGGCTGGTCTCGAGCTCCTGACCTCAAGTGATCCACCTGCTCAGCCTCCCAAAGTGCTGGGATTACAGGTGTGAGCCACCATGCCTGGCCATCAGTTGTATTTCTATATAGTAGCAATGAACAATCTGAAAATGAAATTAAGAAAATGCCATTTACAATAGCATTAAAAAGATAAAATCCTTATGAGTTAATCAAAGAAGTGCAAAACCTATACACTGAAAATTACAAAATATCAAAGAAAGAAATGAAAGAAGTAAAAAGAAATCCCATGTTCATGAATTAATGTTTTAAGATGGCAATACTCTACAAACAAATCTCCAGATTCAGTACAATCCCTATCAAAATCCCAGCTGCTGCTTTTGCGGAAATGGAAAAGCTGAAATTTGTATGGAAATGCAAGGGGCCCAGAATACCTAAACAATCTTGAAAAAGAACGAAGTTTAAGGATCCACATTTTCTAACTTCAAAACTCACTACAGAGCTATAGGAATCAAGACTATGCAGTACTAGCATAAGGACAGATATATAGATCAGTGGCATAGAGTTGAAAGTCTACAATGAAATCTTTAAATATATGGCCAATTGATTCTTGGCAAAAAATGCCAAAAAATTCAGTAAGGAAAGAATAGTCTTTTTGAAAAAGAGTGCTGGTGGCTCACGCCTGTAGTCCCAGCACTTTGAGAGGCTGAGGCGGGCAGATTACGAGGTCAGGAGTTCAAGACCAGCCTGGCCAAGATAGTAAAACCCTGTGCCTACTAAAAATACAAAAATTAGCTGGGCATGGTGGCACGCACCTGTAGTCCCAGCTACTCAGGAGGCTGAGGCAGGAGTATCACTTGAACCCGGGAGGTGGAGGTTGTGGTGAGCCAAGATTGCACTTCAGCCTGGGCGACAGAGCGAGACTTGTCTCAAAAAAAAAGAACGAAGTTGGAGCTGTACCTCACAAATACACAAAAATTAATTCAAAAAGGATAAGAAACTGAAAAGTAAGAGCTAAAACCACAACCTTTGATTAAGCAGTGGTTTCTTAGATATCATACTAAAAGCACAATTAATCAAAGATAAAATAAACTGGACTTCATCAAAATTTAAAAACTTATACTTCAAAGGACTATCAGAAGAGTGAAGAGACAACCTATATAATGGAAGCAAATATTTGCAAGTAATATATGGGTAAGAACCTAGTATCCAGAATATATAAAGAACTATTATAACTCAACAATAAATAGACAAACAACCCAATTAAAAAGTAGGCAAAGGATCTGAATAGACATTTCTCCAAACAAGATATAAAAATCGTTAATAAGCACATGAAAAGATTCTCAACGTCACTAGTCATTAGGGAAATACAAATCAAAACCACACGAGATACCACTTCACACCCATTAGGATGGTGATAAAACACAACATCATGGAAAATGACAAGTGTAGGTGAGGATGTGGAGAAACTGGGAGCTTCCTATATTGCTGGTGGGAAAGTAAAATGATACAGTTGCTGCAGAAAAGTCTGTCAGTTCCTCAGAGTTAAACGTGGAATTACTATATGAGCCATTAATTCTATTTCCAGGTATATGCTCAAGAGAATTGAAAACATACATCCACCCAAAAACTTGCATACAAATGATCAGAGCAGCATTACTGATAACCAAAAAGTGAAAATAACTCAAATGTCTATCAACTAACCAATGAATAAACAAAATGTGAGTTATATCTATTCAATGGAATATTATTTGGCAATAAAAATGCATCTAGTTCTGATATATGCCACAACATGGAGGAACCTTAAAAATGTTAGGCAAAGTAATAGCCAGACACAAAAGGCCACGTTATATAATCCTTATATGAAATGCTTAAATCTATATATAGAGAAGGCAGATTAATGGTTGCCAGTGGGGAGGGAGAAATGGGAGTTGACTACTTAACCCATTTATGCCTAGTGTTCCATTATTGGAACACTAAGCTTGTAGGAGTTATTTATATCCTACTGCTCAAGATGATTTTTTTACAAAAAAATTTTGCCACCTCTGGCATAAATGGGTTAATGGTTAGAGGTTTCTTTTTGGGGTGATGAAATGTTTTGGAGTTAGATAGTCATGATGGTCTCACAACCTTGTGAATATACTAAAACCCACTTAATTGTATACTTAAAGTGAGTTTTAGAATATGTTAATTAAGGAAAACTTTTTGATTATAATCTGCCCAGAAAGTGGGTTGAGCAAGGCATGGAGTTCTTTGCAGGTAGAATTCAAAGTGTTTGAGCAGACTGCTGGGCTCTGCCCTGGGAGGTATTCTCCTATAACCACATGAGGTGCCAGTAGAACAGAACGACCCTATCTCAGATCACAAATTTCATGGACACAGCTTCAAAAATGGGCCTGCCTCAAACCAGATAACCTGTAGGGTGGGAGAGGCAGAAACCCTTTGGAACCTGCCCATATCTTGATGTTATCTGCATGAATTTATGGCTTGAGGTACAGATGCTCTGTTCCATGCATTCTCTATTGGCCTGTCTTTTGGTATGATTTATGAGCAAGTCAATACAATAGGAGGAAGAGGGTTTGGAATTTCAGGAAGCCTACTGTTTGTTGTGTGGGAAATGTTGAACTTGGCCATATTAATCTCTTTTGTTTTCGTGACATTTTATAATTTGTTTACAGCATGTCATCTGGCAGGAGACTCATCTGTAATCTTGATTCCCATCTTGTGAGGTGGGCAGTCTACAAGTGAAGAAACTAAGGGCCTGCAGGTGAATGGACAAGCATGGTCCCACAGTGGGCACAGACAGGACAGAAGGGGGATCCCGCTTTCTGACAGCTGGCCATCACTTTTCCCACAGTGCCAGGCAGCTTATTAAGAGAGCTGTCTTACGATTTTTTGAACTAGAAGAAGAGGACATGTGAGAAGGGCCCCTGACCTGTGTGAGAAGAAGATGCCTCTGCGCAAGAAGTGGTGTGGTCTTTGGCCGGTGGCTCTCTCTATTCGGTTTATTAGCTCTTTGTCAATTTTACTGCTTCCGAACCGAACTGGAAAAAATTGGAAAAAAGAAGAGATGACTTTCTTATGCGGCAGGACATTTACTGATCAGGTATTATTGAAATGAAGGTGAAAAGGAAGTGATCCATGCACAATCTTAATGAATGCAAACCTCTTTAGGCCTTCTACTAAACGTCCTTATCCCCAACATAAAGTAAAAGGTCTTTGTATTAAAATAACAGCTGAGATCAACACGACTAACAAAACAGGAACTAAATTACAACACAAAATGCCGTTTTGCCTGAGACTGGTTATTCTGATGAGAAACATCCAGAATGTGGTCCAGCTAGCAACTTTTGACAACAAAATACAAATACAAATACACACACACACACACACACACACACACACACATTCGCTTGAGGTAAAATTTATATTCATTGACAATCATGATTTCTCACATTCTTTATTTGTCGAACTGAATTAATGTCTGTCGTCAAGTGAATTTTCCCTCATTGACAGTCTATACTCAAATCATGGAAAATGGCTTTGACTTAGAGGAAACATTTTAGTTCTGTTTCTTCTGTGACAATTAGCAATGATCTCAGAGTAAAGACTTCAATGGTATGGCAAAGTCATCACTCTTAAGCTGACTTCCAGCCTTCTAGGTCCATAGCCAGTATCCACTCCAATATCCATTACTGGAAGTGAAACCTAAGTAATCTATAATTGACTTGTAGCTACTAAATGTTTTAAACGACCATTTCTTTTCTTTCTTTCTTTCTTTTTTTTTTGAGACAGAGTCTTGCTCTGCTGCCAGGCTGGAGTGCAGTGGAGTAATCTCGGCTCACTGCAATCTCTGCCTCCTGGGTTCACGCAATTCTTCTGCCTCAGCCTCCCAAGTAGCTGGAACTACAGGTGTGTGCCACCACGCTCAGCTAATTTTTGTATTTTTTAGTAGAGACGGGGTTTCACCATGTTGGCCAGGATGGTCTCCATCTCTTGACCTTGTGATCCGCCTGCCTCGGCCTCCCAAAGTGCTGGGATTACAGGTGTGAGCCACCGCGCCTGGCCTTAAATGACCATTTCAATAGAGCTTTCCCAAGTTCTAAAGTGCTCCAAAAAAGGGAAAAGCTTCTACTAAGCTGTCTACTATAGATCATTATTTTGAAATTTGTTTTATATTGTTATTTTATTTTAAAATAATCCTTTGGGAATATTGCACAACCAAAAGATTTTAGGATCCACTTTTTTCTTGGCATTAAAGCTTCACTGAATTTATGATTAATTCAAAATTTAAAAACATTAATGGACTCAATGGGACCACTTCTAAAAGATGAGGCTTTTTCTGGGAGGAAAGCAGAGGACGTACCAATGAGCTTATCATAGTCGATTCCTTTTGCACTGCTTGTCTGTACTGTCCATGGGTCCACAAAATCCTCTTCGGCTTCTGTAATCATGGCGTCCGGGCCATGATTACTGCTAGGTGCTAGGCTCCCTGGAGGACAGTTAGCCTTGTAATCCTCCCCCATGGCAGCTTTGTAGCTCATTTTTAACGACAGCAACATCTTTACTGCAGAATCAATTTCATCCTGAAAAAGGAAACAAAAGTGATGGCTAAAAGTATTACTAATAGCTGATATTCGCTGAATGCCCATTCTCTGGCAGGCACTGCGCTAAATCCTTTCACACGTGTTACCTCAGTTAGTCTCACACCAACCCTACAAGGCAGGCATCACTGTCATTGTCCTTTTTCAGCTCAAGAATCTGAGACTCAGAGAGAAGGAGCTTACTCATAGAATCACAGCAAGTCATCGGCTCAAAAGCACTTCATTTTTATCTGTTATTCTCGTGCTACCATGAACATTTTGGGACAATAGCAGTGACACAATATATACTGTCGTTTATGACAAAGTTCATATGCTAAAGATTTGTCAAATGCCACCGATGCCAGAGAACGTGTGTGACAAGCTCCTTTAATTGAGTATCCTGGAATTCTGCGTTGGAACTCATTTTTACATTCCATGCAGGTTGAATGAATATTTATGGAAACTTAACCAGTGATGTCACTAAGGATAGTAAGAGCAACTAAAACAGATAAAAGCAAGGACAAAAAATGTAGGCTCTCAGGCTATAAATTAAGGAGGGATTCACTGGGAAATAGTTTTATCACTACATTTTAGAGTCTTATCAAACTATCCTGAAAAAAAAAAAAAAAAAAAAAACAAGAAAAGTAAAATGCACCCTTGGGTAGTCTGGAAATCTATTAAAGACTCTTTTGTAGGAGTCCACAGTGGCCACCCCTGGAAGCCTGGTGTTTAAAAAAGCAGGCCTTAATTAAGCCGATTAGTCATGCTATGCCCTAAAGCTCTATTCTGATAATTGGCCTTGCTGGATTAGATCACAAACAAAGAATATACCCAGTCCAATTTGCTTGCCAAGGGAAATACAAACATTTCCACTTACAGTTTACACAGAACGTTCTTTTTTTTTTTTAATCTCCTCAAATTCCTTTTACCATGTACGGAATGTTCTATAAACACCAACCTCCATTAAGAGATAACTGTTGTATCAGGTACAGCACCTACCAGAGAGGACTGCGATTCTGGAGTGATCTGTGTTTCAAACTACAAATTATCTGGACCTCATCATTAAAATGAGTCAGATTTGTGGAATTAGTAGCCCAATGGATACAACTCAGAGATGAGATGTTTGCCCAGGTTAGACAGGTAAGTGTGTTTTACCCATCTCATTTCTGTAGTACCTAGGCTCAGTACTTGTAGAAAATAAGTGTTTCGTATGTATAACATATCCAGTTCTCTATGGGAAGGCTTACCTTGCTTTGAAGTACACAGCAGTCAGTATCCCTTAATAACTAGCTTCGTTGACATTCCATACTCTATCTGGTCTAATTCTGCTTGTAACTAAGAGGCTCTGTGGAAGTCAAACATTTAACCAATGTTCCTGCTTGAGCACCATCTGCATTCTGGTATAGCACTGTAATAGACAAGCAGGCTCACCTTGTCTATTTCTTATAACCAGTCTTAATCAGTGTCTGAACCAGGACACTGAAACAGGATTCAAATGCTGATGTTTGCTGGGTACAGTGGCTCACGCCTGTAATCCCAGCACTTTGGAAGGCCAAGGCAGGTAGATCGCCTGAGCTCAGAAGTTCAAGACCAGCCTGGGCAACATAACAAAACCTTGTCTCTACAAAAATAAAATAAAAAGAATTAGCCATGCATGGTGGCGCACACCTGTGTTCCTAGCTAATCGGGGGGCTGAAGTGGGAGGACTGCTTGAGCCCGCAAGGCAGAGGTTGCAGTGAGCCAAGATTGCACCACTACACTCCAACTGGGTGATGGAGTGAGACCCCACCTCCCCAAAAAACCAGAAGATCAGTTTTGTTTTTTTGGGACAGGGTCTCACTTCAGTCTCCCGAGTAGCTGGGACTGCAGGTGTGTGCCACCACATCCGGCTAATTTTTAAATTTTTTGTGGAGACACAGTCTCACTATGTTGTCCAGGCTGGTCCCAAACACTTGGCCTCAAGCGATCCTCCTGCCTTGGTATCCTAAGTGCTTGGATTATAGGCATGAACCACAGTGCCCAGCCAAAAGCAGATGTTCAGAAAAGAAAGGCAGACCCAAGTCTATCTACTACTTGGTTACATACAGTTCAACCACACGTAGAGGTAGCCCTGATGGAAGCGCTCATGGCAGAGGCTGAGGGGCGTGAGTGTGGCTTCCAGGCGCTCTATGCTGGCTCTTGATTTGGGTGCTGGTTACACAGATGTGGTCATTTTGTGAAAATTCAGTGAGATGTCTGCTTATGATCAGCATATTTCTCTGTATTAGTGGTATATTTAGATTTTGAAGTTACTTACATAAAAAGGAGAAGAAGAAAAAGGCTCTGTTCTCTTTCTTAGTACTCAAGATCCAGCATTGCTTCTTCAGTTCTGTTCAAACTATTTCCTCTCACAGCCCTCAGATTCTGACTTATTCCCCCTTAGGAAACTCTCTGCTTTAATGAGCTGCTGCTACTGAAGGACGTGGATCTTATTCTTTAGATACACTGGAGCAGAAAATACCTTTGAGATCCATGGTCTAGATAAATGGCAGGCCAAGGAAGAGCTGATGGTGCCCTCTCAGAGAACTGGCGCTCCCAATGTGGCTCAAACTGTTTTGCTAAAAGATAATTTTTAAAATTTCCAAAACATCAAGTGCTTCTAGTACCAAGACATTTCAGGGTCAGCTACAAATGTACTTTTGAATTTTTCATCATTTAACTCTGGTCTCTTTGTGTAACCTCTGATGTCTCAACGTGCCAGCCAATTGCATTAGTCAAAGAATACACTTGGGAGAGTTATTACAAAATGTATTAAGTTGACTAAAATAATGAACATAATTGCAGTCACTAAGAATTACTAACTAAAAACATTTACTAAATGTTATTCAAATTTAATATTAAATGGACAAAAATAGCACTGTCAACTTCCCAAAATGATGGGCTTATGTAACCCCACTGGGTCTTCTATTTATTTTATATTTTTGTTTTAAAACAACTTGGTTTAACCTTTCAAGCCCTACTTGGTGAGTAAATCGCTTTCTGTAAATAAGCAACTTCTTTTTTTTTTTTTTGACATTACTTTCTTTTGGTGCTACTTATTTCCTTTAAAATACGAGCTGGGTGCAGTGGCATGCATCTATAATCCCAGCAACTTGGTAGGCTAAGGTGGGAGGACCACTCTTGAGCCCAGGAGTTCAAGGGCACTGAGCTATGATTGAACCACTGCAATCCAGCGTGGAAAGAGTGAGACCCTGTCTCAAAACACACACACACACACACACACACACACACACACACACGTACACGTTTAAATTGGGTACCAAACAATCAAAGTAAATTACTGAGGAATGTGAGATAGTTGACACCATCTGGTAACAAGCAAGGAAGAGATGTTTGAAAAGAAGATAACAGATAATGGGAGTTGAAAGTGACGGAAGTCAGGCCGGGCATGGTGGCTCACACCTGTCATCCCAGCACTTTGGGAGGCTGAGGTGGGCAGATCGCCTGAGGTCAGGAGTTTAAGATCAGCCTGGCCAACATGGCAAAACACCGTCTCTACTAAAAATACAAAAGTTAGCCAGGCATAGTGGCAGGTGCTTGTAGTCCCAGCTACTTGGGAGGCTTAGGCAGGAAAATTGCTAGAACCCAGGTGGTAGAGGCAGAGGTTGCAATAAGCCGAGATTGCACCACTGCACTCCAGTCTGGGTGACAGAGTGAAACTCCATCACAAGAAAAAAAAAAAAAAAAGAAAAGAAAAGAAAAGGAAAGTGATAGTGATGGAAGTCATGGAGAAGCTGGAGGACCTAGGAATGAAGTCACCCCAGAAGGAAATGAATGCTTACATTCCAGTTAAAGATGCATATTGATGATGATACTTCTGAAACCTACTATAACAAAAGCAGAGATTTTTTTTTTTTAAAGCATAGAACAAAAGAAACAAGAAGAGGATGACAGCAACACGGTTTCAGAAGCTGGAAAGCTGATGGATGACCAGTGCCTAACAGCATGAGAGAAAACAAACACTAAGACATTGCAGAAATACTGGAAGTGACCACGTGTACACTGCTATGCAATCGCCCAAAGGCTAAGGCCTTAGTGACCTTATAGGGGTGGGGGTGAAAGTGCGTTATGAAAACAGGAGGCTGGTTGAAGTCTCTTCAAGAAGCAGTTATTGAGAACCCCTCTCCCCTTGGCCAAGGGAGTGCCACACTTTCCCCTTCAATTCCAAGGTTTCATGTCGAAAGAGGACAGAGTTAGGGGTGCCTAGACTGGGGGCAATCTGCACAGTTGGGGCACTGGCAGCACACAGAGGATAGGGAGCTTCAGGGAAGGATCCCACAACCCTTCTCTCCCACTCAGCCGTGGAATGCTGGCAGCTGGACTCAGCCCCTCTGAACAGTGGACTGGGGAGCTTTCTCTGGGGAATCTCATTTAACTTTAAAGGGAAGCTGCCTGCTCATTCTCCAGGGGGAGGAACCTATGTTGATAAGCTCCTCCCCAATAAACAGTCCATCCAGCAGCTTTTTAAGTGTACCCCCCAAAACATGAGTAAACAGCCAAGAAAACACTAAACATTTGAGAATTGCCTCTAATATCAAAGACAGGTAGAAAAAAATTAAGATGGATGAAGCTGGGATTATAAAGCATGTAGAGGACATGTGGAAAACTGCCATTAAGATCTCAGAAAAGGATGGTAGTGTACCTATGAACCAGGGCAGGGTGCTATGAGGAAACTTCAGGGAGCATACATGCTCCTGGAAGTTAAAAATGACAGGAGAAATGGAAAACAATAGGAGGGTTAGAAAATCAGAGAAACAGTCTCCAAATTAAAGAAACAAGACTGTGAAGAAAGAAAACAGAAGGGATCAAAGAAATAATGATTTCTGAGAATTAACAGTCATGAGTTTCTAGTTCGAAAGGCATGCTGAGCCCCTATACCATGCAATTTCAGAACACTGGAACAAAGAAGATCCTGCCAACTTCCAGAGAGAAAAAATGGAGGAATGGCATCTGGCTTCTCTGCAGCAGTGGCTTCAGCATTCCCAGGGGAAATCACTTTCATGCTAGAACCCTACCTAGTTCCAATCCCAGCCTAGTTATCAATCAAGTTTTAGGTAAAATAAATACACTTTCAGATGGGCAAGATCCCCCCAGAGATATTTCCTTTGCATTATTTTTTTCAGAAACAATTGGAAGATTTGCTCTGCCCAAAGAGCAAAGCAAAGAGGAATAAGACGCAGGAGCAGGAAATGGGCACCCAATCAGCAGGGTGAAAGGAACTCCTGGGTCGACAGTGAAGAAAGATGCCAAGATGGGCAGTGTAGGAGGCAAGGATCACCAGTCCAGAGGGAAGCAGGCAGAAGGTTTTGGGAGAGATCACCTCAAGAAGATGAACTTGACATACTAGTTGATGTGTGTTGAAAGGAGATTCATCTGACTGGGAAAGGACTTGGAGACACATTATCATTAGTATCAATCACATAAAAAAAGTAAAGCAAACAGAAATTAAGACAAATATTAACTCCAGAGAAAACAAAAGCTGGGCGAGAAAGGAAGAGTAGTCATTCTATCCTTGATGGTTTGAGGGCGAGAAAGGAAGAGTACTCATTCTATCCTTGATACAGATACTGACCTAGCTGCAACTGCAATACGGATGGGGAGACTGCCTGGACGGGAAGTGGCTGGGAAAGTACACATTCTTCGTTTCCACATGAAAGCCCCAACTTCAAAATCAGCAAGGAGCAATATAATAAGCAGAATATTTGTAGATATGGGGAGTACATAACCAAAAGACCGGCTAAAAGAATTGAGGAGGAAATAGGGAGAGGTGGCCTGGAGGGCCGCTGTATTTCACAAAGGCTTTGAGAACCCCTGACTCTAGATCACAGGCATCCCAATGTTGATAAAGGGAAAAACGCATTTAAAACTATAACCAACGCTGGGTGCGGTGGAATATGCCTGTAATCCCAACACTTTGGGAGGCCGAGGCAGGTGGATCACCAGAGGTTGGGAGTTTGAGACCAGCCTAACCAACATGGAGAAACCCCATCTCTACTAAAAATACAAAATTAGCCAAGCATTGTGGCACACGCCTGTAGTCCCAGCTGCTTGGGAGGCTGAGGCAGGAGAATAGCTTGAACTGGGAGGCAGATGTTGCAGTGAGCCGAGATCACGCCACTGCACTTCAGCCTGGGCAACAAGTTTGAAACTCCATCTCAAAAACACACAAAAAAACAAACAAACTAAAAACCACAACAAAATTAGCTGGGTATGGTGGCGCATGCCTGTAATCCTAGCTACTTTGGGAGGCTGAGGCATGAGAATTGCTTGAACTGGGAGGCGGAGGTTGTAGTAAGCTGAGATTGCACCATTGCACTCCATTCTGGGAAAAAAAGTGTGCAACTCCCTCTCAAAAAAACAAAATAAAACAAAACCCAACAACAAAAAATTATAACCAAAACACCTCAGTCATTGAGGAAACCATCTCCTCCAGAGTAACAGCCCTACAGACTTGGGAGGCTCAGCTGCCTTCATGGAGAACCCAACAGAATCACCTACCTTTGATGCATTTCCGGCTTTCAGGGCCCTCACGTGCTCCCCTTGAGTGGTGACGCTGTTGAACAGCTCCAGTGGAGAGGCACAGGCCTCACTGTTGGCCATGTTAGCCATGTCTCAGAATGGCTGGCCAGGGGTCAGAGGCTTTGTTCAGCAGAGGAGTCAAGACTGGGGGGAAAAAGGAGAGAGAGGGAAAAAGAGAGATTAACAAAACACTGCAGCTGTTTTTTCTTTCCTGGATTGAGTCCATTTTTCTGAAGAGGTTGTGAGGTGAGTTACAATAAAGGACATGGATAATACGATAAAAAGAGAAGCAGAAATTTGGGGCCACGAAAAAGAGGAAAAGTGGAAGAACAAATGTCAATGATGAGGACTAAAGGAGTGACTAGGATTTACTGACTTAAGATCTACAAAAGAGAGGGCCTCCTAGTTAAGACTGAGTTTGCATTTGGTGATGTCCCCTGTACCCCACCCAGTGCCCAGAACATGACTCCTGTTTGCTTCAGGGTATAATAAACACCAATGTGTTTTAATAAACCTAAGTTCACTAGTGCTATACACATTTGACAAATTACTAAATTACTATATGCTGTTTTGTTTTGTTTTTTGACATTGGAGCACAATCTCAAAAAGGGTAATCACACCAGGCTGGAGTGCAGTGGTGCAATCTCGGCTCACTGCAACCTCTGCGTCCCGGGTTCAAGAGATTCTTCTGCTCAGCCTCCTGAGCAACTGGGATTATAGGCGCCTGCCACCAAGCCCAGTGAATTTTTGTGTTTTTAGTAGAGGCGGGGTTTCATCATGTTGGCCAGGCTGGTCTTGAACTCCTGATCTCAGGTGATCCGCTTGCCTCAGCCTCCCAAAGTGTTGGGATTACAGGCGTGAGCCACAGCATCCAGCCACGATTTGCTGTTTATCTTAATTGCCTTGGGGATGAATTCTCAGGCCTTTGCAGCCATAACCAATATACTGCTGAGCAAGTATCTTCCATTGCTGGCCAGCTGCTCTCAGACAAAGTGAGCTCTGGGGTGGAAGACAGGGCCTTACCTGTCCCAGGTTCCACACAGGGTAAGGACTGTCTGCAATGTGTCTGTTCCACATACTGCCTTATTTAACTATAAACCTTTGGAGAAGGTGTGTCTGCACCTCCTAGTAGTCATTATTCACCATTACCCTTGCAGAAGGTAGGGACGTGGCAGACAGAGACTGTGCCGCCTTCAACCCCTTCTTGGCTCAATCACTTCCTCTACTTTTTTTTTTTAGAGAAGGGGTTTCACTCTTGTTGCCCAGGCTGGAGTGCAATGGTGCGATCTCAGCTCCCAGGTTCAAGAGATTCTCCTGCCTCAGACTCCCAAGAGCTGGGATTACAGGCAAGCATCACCATGCCCAGCTAATTTTGTATTTTAGTTGAGACAGGGTTTCTCCATGTTGGTCAGGCTGGTCTCGAATCCTGACCTCAGGTGATTCACCCGCCTTGGCCTCTGAAAATGCTCAAATTACAGGTGTGAGTCATTGCACTCAGAATCACTTCTTCTTTCTGACTGTCAGTTTCCTCACCTATACAATGGCACCACAAGGAACTTCTTCATCTATCCCAGGCTCTTAGGAGAACAAAATGAGAAGAAAAGGCATGGTAGCACTTTGTAAACCGTAAAGCAAGATGTAACTACATTACAAGTACTGTTATTAATGTTCTTTTGTTTCTTAGGGTTCCAAAGATTGGCTGAACTCCAGCTTCTTTTAACTTGCTGTAAAACCTTGGAGGAGGACAATGAGAAGGCTAGTGTCTGAGCTGCTAACTTTGAACACCTCTGTACCTGTTATTGTTCTAAGCACCTTATATGTGTCAATTCACTTAAGCCTTACGGTAGTCCTATGAAATAGATTTGTTATCTCCATTTTATAGATGAGGCACAGAGGGGTTAAAAAAAAACTTGCCCAAGGCTTGGCATGGTGGCTCATACCTGTAATCCTGGCATTTGGGGCAATACAGTGACTCTACAAAAAAACGAAAAAAAAAAAAAAAAAAAAAAAATTAGCTGGGCATAGTGGTGTGCCTGTAATCCCAGCTACTTGGGAGGCTGAAGCAGGAGGATCACTTGAGCCCAGGAGTTTGAGGCTTCAGTGAGCTATGTTTGTGCTACTGTACTCCAGCCTGGGTGACAGAGTAAGACCCTGTCTCTAAAAAAAAAAAAATGTTAGATATAGTGAACCCCAAGTTTCTCTTCAAAAGAATCAGTATGTCAGTATGGTCAGCTTTCTTATTATTTAATTCTCTATTTTAAAGTTTAACTTTCTTGTAGTTTCAGTAAACAACCTTTTCTACCAGTTCTAATCAGTAGTTCACATCTGTCTCCCTCCCCCTGGCCCCCCCCCCCGCCCCCCCCATCCCCTGCCCTGACCCATCCTGGTAACCTGCTTTGACCCCTGCTTATCTGCTCTGACCTGCCCATAACCGTCCTTCCAGCCAAACCTGCTCCCTTTAAAATAGCCAACTGGAATTAGACTAGACTGTGCAGCCTAACCCAGCCAACAGGGGAACGACACAGCAGTAGGGGCAACCTTCGTCGGGGCATAAGTACCCCTTCCCCTCCCTGTAACAGGTGTGTGCTTACCATTGCTCCGTCTGTGACCGGCACCCTTCTACAGAAGTAAACGGCCTTGCTGAGAGGAATTATCTTCAAGTGCTATTTCTTTTGTGGCATCAAAATTTTACTTATAACAAAAAAATAAAATAAAATAAAAGCTTGCCCATGTTAACATCACAAATAAATGGGAGACATGGGCTATAAACTCTAGTAGTTTGACTCTAGAGCCTACGCTCTCAACCATTATCCTACCAATGACTTAACTCTGTGAATTAAACATATACATTTGTGGTGTCAATTATTTTAATATATTTATTTGTTAAATATTTGTTTAAAATGTATGTAAACTGGTCAGGTATGGTGGCTCATGCCTGTAATCCCAGTACTTTGGGAGGAAGAGGCGGGTGGATCACCTGAGGTCAGGAGTTCGAGACCAGCCTGGCCAATGTGGTGAAACCCTGTCTCTACTAAAAATACAAAAAAATTAGCTGGATATGGTGGTGCACACCTGTAGTCTCAGCTACTCGGCGGGGGTGGGGGGACTGAAGTGGGAGAATCACTTGAACCCGGGAGGCAGAGGTTGCAGTGAGTGGAGGCTGTGCCACCGCACTCCAACCTGGGCAACAGAGAGAGATGTTGTCGCAAAACAAACAAAAAAAATCCTCAAAATATGTAAATCATGGGCTGTAAGCAGTGGCTCCCATCTGCAATCACAGTGCTTTGGAAGGCCGAGGCGACTGCTTGAGCTTAGGAGTTGGAGAGCAGCCTGGGCAACACAGATCGTGAGACCCAGTCTCTGAAAAATTTTTATAAAATTAAAAAAAAAAAAGAATTGAAAAAAAGTATGTAAATCAAAATTTATTTAAGGCAATGAAAGTGTAATACTGAAACCAGAATGGGATAGCATGAGAACCACCTCAATCCCCAGAAAGGGAGGTTTGGAGTGGTTATAACTGACCCATAACAAAGAATCCAGTTAAGGGAGGAATGCAGAAATACCCTCTCCTAGTGCTAGAGAGAACCTTCAGACTCTCCCATTCCCTCCCCAGCAACAAGCGGAGCAAATCAGTCATCATCCCTTTCTCTCTAAGGTCTTTGCCCATATCAAATAACAAAACTCATGAAAATTACTTCTAGCCACAAATCATCAAACATCATGTCCAGATTCTTATCCTGAATTCTCCCAACTCTCAAAGCTGGGTGTTATTCTATGTGCCCTGCAATAGCAGATGAGAGGCTGATGGCTCAGGGAAGTCAGAACAAGTCTTCTGAAGTTCCACTGCCAGGGAGTAGCTAAGCCAGAATCTGATTCCCAAGCCCCCTTGCTCATGTGCTCTTTCAGAATCCCTGCGGCCTGCCTGCCTGAAATGTTTCACACCCTTCTCTGCCTGAACTCTGCTGATTCTCTTTCCAATTTGAACCTCAGCTCTTCACAGCCTCTCCTGACACCTGTGCTTCTGGGACCAAGTTGTTTGCTCCGTCCTCTGTGATCCCCAAACACTCTTTTAGTGACTTTATGAAAGCACTTACACTGCAGTTTAGTTATTCATGTCTTTCCCAGCAGAGTGAAGGCAAGCACTGGGTTTATCCTTCCATGTACTTCTAGTACCCAGCACACAGCTTATCAACAAACATTTATCTAATGAACAAATCTCCTTAGTCATCTAGTTCAAGATTTTCCTCTAAGGTTTATCCTCTTATGTCTTTACTTGTTCCAGTTGAAGGTTGATTCCCCCAGTTGGACTTTAGATGGCTTCTTGTTTAACGTCCTGGTACTGAGTTGAGCCTTCTGAGATCTGTGGAGAGCCAGGTTGGTTTCCTGGCGTTTTCTCCATGTCTTGCATCTCTACTCTGGTTTCTTCGCCCCCTGCTAACATCTGCCCACCATCCTGGTCGCTATTTTTGGAATTCCTTTTGGTTTACCCTGTCCTTCCAAAAAATGTGGTGCCCTGCACAGAAGGCAACAAGGCAGTAGTAAGGTTTTGAAATCAATCAAGTATAGATAAAAATTATCCTTAAAAATTCCTGGGGAAAGTGCCAAGAAGAATGCCTGGGACAGCTAATTTCCCACTGCAATAGATTAGATAACTGTTTCTTTGCTAGCGGATCAGTGAGAGAAACTAGACTTGCATTTAGGGTCCATGTTGTGGGAAAAACATGTATCTATAAATATCAGAACTCCATTTAAGAAGCACCTGGGAATGAAATTAGACTGAGGAAATAACAGATGAGGTTTCCCTGCTCTCATGATCACAAGGCATATAGGATCACAAGGAATCATCCACACTGTTGAAATCTTGTGTGTGGACTAGACACGATGGCTCATGCCTGTAATACCAGCACTTTGGGAGGCTGAGGTGGGCAGATTATGAGGTCAGGAGGTCGAGACCAGCCTGGCCTACATTGTGAATCCCCATCTCTACCAAAAAAATACAAAAAATTAGCTGAGCATGGTGGCACACACCTGTCGTCCCAGCTCCTTGGGAGGCTGAGGCAGAAGAATTGCTTGAACCCGGGAGGTGGAGACTCTGTCCAAAAAAAAAAAAAAAAGAAAAAAAGAAAAAAAAAGAAATCGTGTGTGTGTGTGTGTGTGTGTGTGTGTGTGTGTGTATGATGCAACTTCTGTGTGGTCAGAGAAAGGAGAACAGAACTATCATGGTCCTCATTTCATGCATTTATCCATTTACCCCATTTATTATGTGAGCATTTCTCTCCCTACCTATCAACATCCTCCTTTATTTCTTTGTTGACTTTCAGAATTGAGTTGAACTTCCCAGGTTTTTCAATTTGGAGTTCATGAATCTCTGAGATTATGTTAACATTTTCAAGTACCTTGGTATGTGTATGGTTTTGAGCAGAGTATCTTGGCTTCATTATCTTTGCAAAGGAGGCTTAGCGGCCCAAAGGTTAAGGACCATTGTGTTCAGTGTTTACCATACAAATTGCAAACAGCACATTGAATCTTTGTTAAGAGAAGTGACTTTACATGTTTAACAAATATTACAAACTGAAACAAAGAAATACAGTTATAACCAGTGAAGTACTCTATTATCTTCCCTAAACAAAAGTACTGGGAGTGTAAGGAGCAAAACTGCCTATTCCACAGGAGATCACAGCGGACCTTCCAGGAGAAAGCTAAAAAAGCTCTTGAAAATTAACTTCCAATTCCCCCTTTTCAAGAACTTGAATCTTGTGCTCATTCTGAAAATTTCCACTGCTCTGGAGGAGCATAACAGGCACTTAAGGAAACAGTATGCTGTTGGGATGAGGAGTGAAAAGAATTATAGAATTGTTTCACAGAACAACACGATAAAGACTTGGGCTGCATCTAAATTATCTCACAAAGATCAGACACACTGATTCCACAGTCTGGGGAAGAGTGGCATAAAGACAGTCAATTCTGGAGCAGCTGGGAAGAAAATGTGGCCCAGGAGCATGTCTGGATCCCTGGAATACCACCAGGAGGTGGAACACCATCCTCTACATCTTGGCCCAGAATGTAGGTGACAATGCCTTTGGACTGGCCAGTTCCCAGAGGACAAGAAAATGACTTATTTAGAGCAAGGAGTTCTTGACATCTTTTGGGTCCCCATTATGTTCCACTTTTTTTTTTTTTAACACTTAAAGAAAGATTGCTTTCCCCCCCAAATAACAGAATGAACATTATCTTAAAAGGCAAAGACATTGCACGAAACCGCTTGGCCAGAATCTCTGTTTCCCATGGGAGAAGTGAATTACCTGAATTTTGGGTCAATAGAAGACGCCTAACACCCTAATACTAGGACACAAGCCTTGACCTTCTAAAACCAAGGTTTTCAGCACTTTGGTAAAAACGCTAACAAACTCTAAGCCTGGCAAAGATAGCAATACATACCCAGATTGTGGAAGGCACTGGAGAGGTGGCCACTGGTCACGCTGGGCAGTTGAGCAGCTGAGAATGCCCTGCTCTTCTGGCTAGAAGTGGTCTTTAATATTCTTCCCCTCTTTCTTTCACTTTCCCTTCTGAGAAAAGAGCCTCCTCTTGCTTTTGTTTACCACTCCCCACCCCGCATGAGCTAAGGGTTTCTTATAAATCACCCAGATTCTCAGAAACACTTGAGCTCTTGACCAACCTTTCTGTTGAGACTGTCCAATCGGGGTGGGTTGGCTGGGGGGGCCAGGTTGAGACCAATGAAACCCTCTTGAGAACCGAGCGATTAGCTGGTCATTGCATCAGCCACCCCTCACCCCATGCCGGCCTCCAAATAACCTCCCCACCCTCTTCCCGTTCCCCACCCTCAGCATCTGTGTGACAGTGTTTGTGTGTAGTCGTGGGAGGTGGAAAGAGAACCTGTAAACTCCCTGCATCTGTTCACCAGGGCGGTGCAGTGTGGTGGAAAGATCAGGAACTCTGGTGTCACAGAAGCCTGGATTTCAATCTCAGCTTGGACTGACTCGAAACCCTGGGCAAGGGTCACATTGCTTTTCTGCTTCCCCTCGGTTTCCTCAACCGTGAAATGGGCATGGAGAAGCCTGCTAACATTACCACCGAGGGGACTAAGGGCAGCACTACGCAAAGCCTCTGGCACATGGCAGGCGCTAAATAAAAATGGGGGCCTCTCTCCTCCGGGAAAGGAAAGAGGTGGAGACGACGGAAGGGCGGGTGCCGGCGGGAAAGGGAGACGGGGTGGGTAGGCGACGTTCAGAGGAAAGGGGCGAGGGGTCGCTGGCAGGCTCCGCGCCCCTTAGAATGCCAGAACGCGGCAGGCGGCAAGCCGGGCTCTGAGGATATTCCCAGGAGGGCCAGGCCGTTGGGTGCCATGCCGGCGTCCCTCCAGCACTCCCTCCCTTGTTCCCGCATTCCGCCCCGGGTTCACGCCCCTCGCTTACCCGGCTTCCAGCCGGGCCGGTCAACGCTCCCGGCTCAGCCAAGGGTTTTCTCCTGGGCGTCCGTGGAAACGCTGTCCGGACGGAACAACTTCCGGCCTGACGGAGCCATCATTGGCTGTTCAAGCGGGGGCGGGGCAGAGATCGCCACTGATTGGCTAGCGGCCCCGGCGCCGCGGCGGAACGCGACTGGACCTTGCAGTGTTGGCCGGTCTGCCTCCGGGAGAACGGAGCGCTTCCGGTGCGTGTGGTGAGCGGCGGGCCCCGGGCTGGAGGGGGCCGGGACTGGGCAGCGCCCGAAGCGCCCCACGCCTTTTAACGCGGTCATCGCCGCTCGCTCTCCTTTCACTTCCTGTTCCTTCAGAAAGCGCTGTGCTTTGGACCCACCTTACCTCTTACTATTGACAACTCGGCTAACTCCCATTCATCCTT